GAGTCATCTAGTATCTAGTAGCGAGTTTCAGCAAAATATATAGTATAAAAAACGTTGAAGAACTTTCTGAGAGTTGCGGCTGCACAAACGAGCTTTACATTTTTATTTATATAGACTAGCTTCACCTGTGGTTTCGCTCTTGGTAGTGTTTCTATTTAATTCCTAACCGCTAAACACCTATATGTTGTATGGGGATGCACAGAATGCGGATCTGAGGTTCTATCTTTACATCTTATTCATCAAATTGAAATAAAACTTTAGAAAAAGTTGCACTGTTAATTCAGACTTTGCCGGTATCATAAAAAGTCTATAAAAGAGTGATGACGATTAAAGACACATGAACACACAGTGTCAAACAGACGAACATACATTTTTAGCATTGGCTTCTCTTATAAGATTTATTCGCACATGTTTTTCACATATTTTGAGAGTTCCCGATATTTCGTCACTGTTACAAGCGCTGTGGTAACGTATATCATGTATTTAAATGTAGAATTTTATATTGTTATACAATACATAAAAATAACAAGGATACCAACGTTTAAATATACCACGTTACCAATAGACAGGACACCAATATGATAAAATTAATAAAATCGAGCAAAATCGATTTTTTATTATTGCAATAACAAATTGATTCTAAACATGAGTTATTATCATCAGTGGCATCACGTTTTGTCTAATTATAAACTTCTACAATCTACAATTTAAATTAATTAATGTAAGCAGACGTCGTAAAAAAGACAAGTACCTAAGCATCGTATCGGACTATGGAGTATGGACCTATTGGCGAGAATTAGATTTCCCTAGTGGCACTTTTCGGAACTAATGACAGCAGCTTACAGCACTACTTACTTAACAATAACAAATTAACAGTTTTAATTACTTTTCCCAAAGCAGATATTTTGACCTTTATGTACATTTATACAGACTAACTAGTAATTTTATCGGTGCGAGTTAGTTCTACGACTTGTCGAAATCTAGTCTGCTCATTGGCAACAGCATTATGATATGATTAAACAAATTATTGTTTAAAAACTAGATTAACTAGATAATTAATTGTATTGGCCATACAATACTTTCTCTTATTCATACATGGGATAATTTCATATTTTGTCTATAGTTTGCTCTTATTTTACGTGCTCTATACATGGTAGGTACTATGCCTTGGAGGATCGTGCGTATGTGACATTTGTTATTTTTTGATTAATTATATATATACTAGCGACTCACCCTCGCTCCGCTCGGGTTCGTCCCTGGGGTGGGGTCTGGGAGGACCACCACCCTTATCCTTATCACTTAGGGGTATGAAAAATAGATAGTAGCCGATTCTCAGACCTACTGAATACGCATATAAAATTTGGTAAAAATCGGTAAAGCCGTTTCGGAGGAGTACGGTAACAAACATTGTGACATGGAAATTTTATATATAAGATATTTTTTTCAAATAAATTCTACGTTGTGGGTAGATTAACCTGTGATTTTTGTTTCTTAGAAACTATTTTTTTTTAAATTTAGTCACTGAAATAATGCGTCGTCAAAAAAGTTCGAATTATATTTGATGACTAATCTCTGCATCTTTTAATTTTGTAAAATAACACCCCTCTGGTAGATCGTAGTGTGATGTTAGATAGCATATTATACCGTTCTTTAATAAGCTGCTATAAAATGCATAAAGAATTTGTCAAATCAGACCAGCCGATCTAGATATTATCGCGTTTAAACAAACAAACAAACAGTGAATCTCATTTTATATATTGTATTCAGCCCCTTTTATTGACGTCCCACTGCTGAGCACGGGCCTCCCTTCGATATGAGGGGGATCAGGCCATAGTCCACCACGCTGGCCTAGTGCTGGTTGGCGGACTTCACGTGTCTTTCGAAAACTTGCTAGGTTCTCTCAGACATGCAGGTTTCCTCAAGATGTTTTCCTTCACCGCAAGGCAAGTGGTAATCATGTTAGAAATCATTTGCACATGAAAATATCAGAGGTGCGAGACCCGGGATTTGAACCCGCATCACTCGGTTTCCCAAGCGAGCGCGTTACCACTGGGCTACCACTTCCTTATTTTATATTATATATTAGTATAGATTTAAGGCTAAACATAAAAAAATACGCGAATAAAGCTGGTGTCCGGGACTAGTGGCAAATAAATACAGTTAGTGCAACAACAAACGCGCTAAGCATGTTCACACATTAGATATAACACGTGCCCTCGTTTCGATAAATATCGATCGAAACAATCTGTTCAGATTGAGATTTAATTTTACAATAATTATTTGCAACAATTTTAATTATTGGTTGATTAAAATAAAAACAATTTATACAACAATATCCGTCCAATAAAGTATTTAAACATTTTGCGAACTTAAGAATTTTGATTGTTCACGTCTACTACAGAGTCAGAAGTTATATGTTCGTATGAATGTTTGTATCTATTGTCTTTATAGATATTTGTATATTAGATACAGAGCTAGCATTAGGTTTCAAATATGCAAAGTATCAAATATCATGAGGTACAATAAAAAAAAGGACTAAAAAAGTGATGAAGACGTTGTTTTTGTTCCCACATACTTCTGCGCATATATCGTAATAAATATAAAAAAAAAAATCATCTAAGGTTGCATGTAAAAAATTAGGTGATGAAATTTGTTGTTTGTTTTCAAATTAAGTTTTTTTTGTTCCGTATTTCAAACGGAACATTTATAGGATTCCCTTGAACGATTTGCCTTAGCAGTGTTTTGCTGTCTTCGTATTATGTTAATTATATTGTTTTCTCCTTCAGTCTATTCAGTATATGTATATATTATAATAAAAAAAAAATAATAAAAAAAAATAAAAAAAGCCTTTTACTTCACTACTAATAATTAATCATTTAATACATTTCACATATTTAATTTTTATTAATTAATCAACATAATTCAGTATAGAAGCGATAGTCAGCATGCAAATATATTATAACATTTTAGCATTTTAAGATTATTGTAAATTATAAATTCTTATTCTATATAAATTACTTTAATTATACATTTTTATTATATGTATATATTATATACCTACAGTTGAAATTTAATAAATATTTATATAGGGATACTATTATACTAAAATTTGGACAAAAACAGCTTAAATCAAAGGAGCAGACGACTTTGTAGTTAGCAGGAAAAAATAATTTGCTTGGTTTTTAATTTTTTTATGATATTTTCTTCCGTCTCGAACTTGATTAATTTTTAGCGATGCTTTGGGTTTAGTTTTACGAGTACCTACTGCGTATTTTAAAACTTTACATTTTTCATAACCTTAACGAGTTCGAATACTTGTTAGTTAAATATTTTTCGACCCGGTGAATAAGCGAAAACTTTAGTAAAAGCTTCCATTTAATACTTTGGTTTAAAATTATTTTTCCGAGTCATTTTTTTTTATTATTCATAATGGTATTTTTCTATTGATATATAAAGTTGAAAAAGATATATAAGAAATGAAAAGTTATTTAATAGATAACTATTACTTGTAAATAAAACAAATCTTAAGGAAGTATATAAGTGAAAAGTATTAATGCATATTAAATACTAGGTACGTCTACACCAGACGGTCAAGGCAAAGTACTTGGCCATGCAGTGAAGGTACTTCGAACTCGTTTAAGTATTTATCAATTTGCATGTAATTAGATTGAAAAGATCGACCTTTTCTTATTTATGTATGATTATTTTTATTGTGATATCTCTTAAAAGTAACAACTTGCCTAAACGGTGATATTTTAGAAGATACATATTTTTTTTTGAAACACGATTTGAGGAAAAATATTTTCTGAGATTTACGCGAATATTTAAAAAAAACAAAACCTTTTTTTCGGATGTTTTCGCGGATTTGTTTTGGTTTTTTGGTTCCGATTGGAACGTAGGTAACATGCGAAAGAGATGGCGAAAACTAATGCTGTCGTTCTTACGATACGGTCAAGGCGAGAGCCTTGCCCTAAGAGTATGGTATTGAATATTATTTTCATAACTAGTGTACGCTTCGATTTTTTGAGCTGAATTCTAATTCTTTTTCTAAAATAAAAGTAGCCTAAGTTACTTCTTCTAACATCAACTATCTGCCAGTGAAAGTCTCGTCAAAATCAGTCCAGCCGTTTCGGAAATTAGCCAGAACAAACAGATAGACAAAATTAAAAAAAAATGTGTTTTTCTTATAAGTACCGTATATAATTTCATCTGCTTTTAGTAAAAAGCTGTTATTTTGATATTACAAAGAGACACTTCAATTTTATTTACTGTATAGATGACATGTAGACTCACTTCCCAAAATCGTAAATTACATTTTTACAATATGGCAATTATATGTATAACTTTTACTGAGTATTTTTTTTAAATATTATTTCTAATTCACAAAATGTATATTTTAATTTTTTTCCCTGATATATAGTAGGTAAGGTCAGGTAATATATGGTAAGGTAGGTAAGTAAGTACCTACTAACTTTGTTTTACTAACAACTTCCTAATATTTATTAATTTTAATTATTTTGTCAATACTATTTATACATTATGTGATACTCAAATATGTAAATAACATAATTTGCCTTTTTATAATAAATATTTATAAATTCGAACGTAGTTACTCAAAATTCAAAAAATAAACCTAACCATTATATTGTTAATATAAGTGGAAATTAAAAAACTAATTTTATAAATATTTAGGTACTTGTAAAATACGTATTTTAAATTTATAAAGATTATTTTATAACATAAATCAAACGTAAACTTTTAAAATTAAAAATTCACAAACTAAAACTAAAATAAAAATGTCATATTGATAAATATCAATATATCAATAACCTCGAAAATCGACCTTGCACAATTTTGCAACAAATATAAATAAGAAACAAACTGATTTACACTAAAATAAAATATAAAATTGATTCTTACGCACCAATCCGCTTCAGTGTTGCCTGCGTTTACACACAAAAATGCACATTTTGAATAAAAATAAATAAATAAACACTAACCACTGAGCGCGGCAACATATTCTCTCCACTTGCGACAGATACTCATTGCTTATTTGCTCACTGTCGTTAAAAATAAACATTTATATTTTATCTACCGCGGCTTAGCCCATGTGGGCGAAGTGATGTTTGGACGCGGTCTAATATTAGTCGGCCACGTGCTACCCGCGTTTCGTCGAGAGCGTGAATGGTAGGGGCTTAGCTCGTCGTGTTGTTTCCCATTTTGTTGACAGTTTCAGCTGTCAATTGCGTGAGTCGGGCGCCGGCGGTTTGTGTTGCCCGATTCACTTCAGATAAAGTACGCTATTTACTTTATCATTCTACGCGTAGACGCCGACTGTACGTCATTGCACGACTCATTCCACGTTCATGTTCATAAGTTATTAAAGGAATTGAATATGAATTATCTTTATATTTGCTTCAGAATTGTCTTATTGTTTTGTTTTAATAAAACATTCGTGGTTATAACTAATGTAAGCTTTTGTATTATTTTTTCATTTAAGCCTTGCCTGCATTTTGTATGCGCTTTGTGAAAACGATACACGAATTACAATACGTGAAATTAATTATTAATATCTTTCTAAGTCCAAAAATATTTATAACTAGCTCTCGCCAGCGACATCGCTTGTAATATGTTTTTTTCACCCGAATTTCTTACCTAGACATTGGTATCATGCAAATAATTATAATTAAAATATATAATAAGCTCAATATGGGGTTACTTTTTTAAATGAAAATCAGACAGTTTTTTTTATATGTAAGTATTTGTTGATTATGTACGAAATTACTTACGACTTAAAGTACGACTTGAAAGATGGGAATTTGAAACACCAAATATTTTTTCAAATATAGGACGGGAATTTTTGAAAAAGTCATACTCGAGCAAATGTTGATGCATTTCAATTCACACAATCTATTCATAAGAAATAGTTTGGATTTACGAAAGGCCGCTCCACGGCAGATGCTAGTGTTGAGCTAGTAAAAAATATTTTTGAGGCTTGGGAGGGGTCGCAGGATGCACTTGGGATATTCCATGACTTATCCAAGGCCTTTGATTGTGTGCATCATGAGACGCTGATCAGGAAACTGCATCATTATGGTATTATAAAAATAAGGCACTGGACCTTCTGAATTCATATTTAAATAATAGAATACAGAAGGTTGATGTAAATGGTAAGAGATCTCCTAGGGCTCCGTTAGATATGGGGGTTCCACAAGGATCTATTCTTGGCCCCTTTCTCTTTCTAATGTATATTAATGATTTGCCATTTTTTGTACAGGACAAACATGAGATAGTATTGTTCGCTGATGACACTTCACTTATTTTTAAAGTGAAGCGTAATTTACTAATTTCCAACGATGTAAACAATGCTCTCTCAAAGGTTCTCCATTGGTTTAATTCAAATAATTCCTTATAAAATAATAAAAAAAAAACAAAATTAGTCTCTCCCGTGACCATGATTGCTGTAAAGCATTCGAAATGTCGGGAACCAAAAATCCAAATAAATCCGCGAAAAAATCCGAAAAGATAGTTTAATTTAAAATGAAATTAATTGATTGATGAGAGATAAGATTAAAGAATTATCAAGAATTGTGACATGCATAATATTAATAATAGGAGCAAACACAAACTTGTAATGCCTGTGACTAGTCTACACAGAGTCAGTAATTCTTTTTATGGACAATGTATACGCTTATACAACAGAATCCCAGAAAATGTTTATAAAGCTTCTTTCGCCAAATTCAAAAGAATTGTTAAAGAACGTTTGTGTGCTAAAGGCTATTATACAATTAATGATTTTATACAAGATAGCACGCCTTGGGAATGAAGTGATCGCCTCCAGGCTACTTCAAATTGATAGAAATATTGTAAATTATAATTTAACTTTATAAAAAATAATGAAATAATATTAATCTCGCTGAGTTTCTTCGCCAGTTCTTCTCAAGTCTGAGGCTTCTTCTTTCCGAACTGGCAGTAGACTCATGACGTTCAGTAAAAATTGTAATAATTTAATGCTGAATAAAATATTTTGAATTTGAATTGAATTTGAATGTAAAAAAAGTTAATTGATTATGAACAGAGATAATAAAATAATTACACTTTTACGCCAATTAAGCAAAGATAATGCATGTAAAATGTAAATGCAATTAATATGTATCTAGATTATCTGCATTACTCGAACAAGTCTACAGCCATATGGATACATATTATCGACGGAATAATTTAAGTTATACTTCTTTTGGGACGTTTGGAAAAAATATGAGTGTAAAATTTTTACACCGACAGCCAAAAAGCGACATGATGATGATAGCTGAACTGTTTGTTGCCATGATAACCGTTGTTATTGTCTGACAAATTATATAATTATAATAGGTATTATAATATTTTTTCCTTAAATGATATACTTTAAATATATGATTGTAATATGCCTAATATGCGTTATTTAATTATTTTTTATCATTCCTCTTACAAACAGAGAGTTGTGTGTGACATACGGGATGAAATCTTTAGCTATTTTTGTTCTGTTACGCCATAGACTGATAATACTATGTTACGCCATAGAAGTATAACTTATTACGTGCGTACATAAATACAAACGCGTTCTTTTTTATTATGATGTAAATAATATAATATATGTTTGCCTATAATATATTAATATATTATATTAACTTTGTTTTTCTTCATTGAAGAACAGATGGAGAAAATACAACAAAAATAATTTATCTTTATTCTTATTAAATTTTTAGTTCAGATATAATTTTTTGGTAGTTTAGTGTATAAAACATAGGTTTGCGTGGTTAACACATACATACATTCATCCTAAAAGTTTGTGACAAGCAATAGGCAGTGTCAGTCAAATAAATATAGACACGTCACGGCGCTACGACGTACATATGTTATATGTATTATGTGCATAACTAAACTATTAATTATATATAATTACTAGCATTGCCCGCGGCTCCGCCCGCGTTCAGATGACCAAAAACCAAATTCTTAGGTTTTACATGTTAGTAAACTCTTACATTGCAGTTTTTGCAGTTTTTGTCATAAATGAGAACATACCAAATTTCATCAAAATCCCTCTAGTGGTTTTTCTGTGATGCGGTAACAGACAGACAGACAAAAATTCTAAAAACTATTGATTCGGCCTCTATATCAAAAATAATGTCTATTTTAATAAGAGTTTCCAAAAAATATTTAATGTACAGATTCGGTCTAGTTACAATTTTATTATATGTATAGATGAGTATAAAGAAAATATGTGTAAAGAAGATACATGTAAAGAAGATACATGTAAAGAAATAAGATCTCTTTAATATGTTACTATTCTAATCTTTTTGTATTAAATTTGGATTGTGGCGCTGTCTGACGGATTAGTGTCATCATATCATGATAAAAACATTTTTCACTGTCTAGTTATAAAACTTTAATAATGTAATTTGTTAAACACAAGTTTATTTTTGCTGGTTCCTAATAACCCCGACTTATTTTATATAAATAAATATAAATATGTTGGGAAATTAACACACATCACCACCTAGTTCCATGGTAAGCTACGAGGCTTTTGTTATGGATACCAGATAGTTGATACACCATACATATATAACTTTAAATACATTTACATATTATAAATATAAACATCCATGACTGGAGTACAAACATTCGTACTCATCACACAAATGAATGCCCCCAGCGGGACTTGAACCCGCGACCGCTGGCACAGAAAGTAGGGCCACTACAAACTGAGCCAAACGTGTCGTCAATATATATAGTATGTATTTCTTTAAATATTTTATTGGATAATGGACAGGCAATATGACAATTTTTGGATAGGAATACAAGCAAATATTCCGAAATGGTGAATATTGAATAGATGAATGTTGAACTTACTTCAAAATGTGATATTCGTAAGTTATCCAACGGCCAGTATATGAAATATTTTGTTAAATAAATACGAAAACTTTCCTAGTATTATAGTTTTGTTAAAGTAATTAAAATTACTATAATAACGTCTAGGTCATATTCATGACATAGATAAAAAATAAGTTGATTGCAAAAACAGTGTTAATATTTAAGTGATATAACACACTAAAAGTACTTAAAGAATAAGAAATGACTTGAATATTTTATTCGTAACAACAACACGTACTTTAATTTATTTTTTTATTTTTTTTTATTTTATTGAGCAGTAATTTGGTGACACGAAGATGATGCTGAATTCAGTGTTTTATTTCAAAAGAATTTTGTAGACGTAATAAATTGGATAGAAATTATGTTAAGAAATTTTGGTGTCTTATAATTTGTTTCTTACTAAAAGTTACGTTATATTGATCCTAATCTATCAGATAAAATAACATAATTCAGCTTCATTTCAAAAGGCTAATTTGATCGAAAAATACACCTTGAGATACATTCTAAGCCGTAAACGCTGTCATATAAAGTGGGGCTCATAGCCGGGTTTCTGTGCTGGTAGAACAAATAGAAATAGATAGATGAGTAAATAGTTTTATAATAAAACAACTATTGTATTACAAATATAGTTACTTATAGAATAATCACAATAGTGCTCGATGTAATAATAAAACAATCTGGTTTTAACATCACGAAAGCAATGAGTATTTTGCTTGACCTATAAATAGGTACGTTTTGAATTTAATACAATGACTAAAAAAAGGTTTTAGAAACCATATTTTTTTAGGTAAGTGTAAGATTTTTTTTATTTTTTGGCAGTGGCGCCTGGAAGTGTCCTTTGGACAAAATTTACTGAGTCATTTTCGCATAGAAAATATTTTTTTAGTATACTAAAAAGTTCATTGATATATTTAAAATCAATGAATAACAGTCTTTCCACTTTTAGCGCTCTAAAAATATTTAAAAAATCCACCCTTGCTGTTTATTTTTTGGCACATTTTCGGTCCTTATTTCTCGATATCGAATATATAACCGCATATAGATGAGTTGTTCCAGTGATTAATACCGATAAGAATACACAGAAACAAACTAAACATTTAAATGTTTATTTAGACTTAGCATCATGGAAGTAACCA